GGCCTGACGGGGAGGACGGGGCCGTCCCCGAGCGGCGGGTGCTGGGCTTTCGACCGGGAGGGTTGGAAAAGCCGGGTGCTCCCCCGCTGCGGGGGGAGGCCGGAGCCGGGCGGCGGGAGCTGCCGGGCTGCTGCGGCATGTGCCGGTAACGGGGAGGGAAGAACCGAGCGGCGCAGCGAGGCCTCGGCCGCCGTCGGATCACCCTCTTCTGGTGGCTTAGCGCTGTATTTTGGGAGCTTTCGGCTTAACTTCTGGGAGTTCAGAGGTTTTTATTTGTTAGCGTTTAACACGGAGGTGGGGCGGCGGGGCTGTAGGGGTTGGGACGGAGCGCAGCTCCTCCGGCCCAGCGGGCGCTCTCCTGGGGATAAGCTGGTCTTAGGGAGCTGGTGGGGAGGAGACGGGCGCTCTCGTTGTGAGTGAACGCAAAGGAGAAGGTATGGGCTGAATTTTAAAAGAATAACCCAGTTCAGATGACCTTCTCTTGGCTTTTTTATTAAGGTTTATCACTTAACCCGATCCAGTTTCTGGAGGAGTTGCTATACTAAGAAAGCAAATCGAGGTTTAAGGTATTCTGAGCACCCTGCCTGTCGCCTGGGTTTGTGAGGGCGGCGTTAAGTCCTGCCGGTAAGAAGGGAACAGGGGAGTTAGTTCTTCAGGAATGGTGTCTGTAAAAAAAGAAATGACCTAGAGAGCGCAGGGCGAGTTCCGGACTTTCCTTTTCCTCCTCCCTGTGTCAATAAATTATTAAGTAGGAAAAAAAGAAGGTTTTTGGGGAAAAAAAAAAAATTGGGTGGCTTCTGGCAAGTCGACCAGCTTTAACACTGACCGCCGATACCCGACTCTGGAAGTTTGGCTTCCCTGCTACAAGAGCTGTACGTCAAACTCTCTGTAGGAGCTTCCGTGGTTTTGTTGGGTAGTTTATTTAAAAAGTCAAGGAGAAAAGGGGATAGAAGACTTCTTAGAAACACTCTCGCTTGGCCGCTGTTGGAATCGCGGATATAAGCAAGACCAGAAGAGCTCCTCGCTAAGGTGGGTGTTCCTATGTGTTTGGTTTTTTCCCTAATGTACTGAGGCTTCGCCCACCCCTCCTCTCCCGTAAGGAGCTGCTCGCGTGAGCCTTGTGCTGTCGGGAACGGATTGGGAGGGGCTCAGTCCTCCGCGCACGGAGCCTGGCCTCACTGAGATTTGTATCTCGGGTCCGATGGGTGCCTGCCTGCGTTCGTAACTCTGCGGTTGGCCTAATTGTCCTGGCTCGGAGCAGTTTGGGAAGCTTGGCTGCAGGTGAATCCTGATCAGGCCTCTTTTTGCTGTTGTAAAGGGCGAGATGGGTAAAGCCGGCTGCCCAGTGCCTTCCCCATGAGCTGCTGGGAGCGATCCAGGGCTCCGGAGGGGACCTGGCGGCGCTGTCCAGCTGACGTCGCTGGCGGCGCGTCCCCTGCCCGCGCTCCCGTTTCCATGGCTCGAGCGTCGCGTGCGGTTACGTGCCGGCGTAAGGGAGGCTTGGGGAGAGCAGTTCCGGTGCTGCTGGGAGTTTCCAGCTTTGGGATTTGAGTTAGGATTTTCCTCTTCTCCCTGCTGGTGTGTGGCGGCTCGGGCGCTGTTCCCGGCTGGTGGTGGTGGTGGTGCTGCTCCGTCTCGGCACCCTGGCAGTAACCCGAGAGGGGTGTTTCTGCAGGGTGCCCTTGCCGGGCCGGTGCTGGTCAGGGCGGGCATTACTGGCATTGGAAATCAAGGCTGTAGTTGCCACTCAGTGGCAGAAATTAGATTGGGGGATTAATTGAGGTGGCAGGAATTAGACAGGGCGATGAATGGAAGGGAAAAGCACTTTGTGCACTTAAAAATAAAAATCCCCCCCAACTAAACCCATGCACCAAAAAACCCCCCCAATCCACCCTGAAACAACGGCAAGCAGAACTATTTCTGCATCTGGCCCGTTCTCGTGGGGTTACTGGCACTTTGTCTGGTGACGCAGCGTGGCTGAACGCTCCCTCCTCCTCCTCCGGCCTCCCCTGCCGTCGGGTGTCCGGGGACGGCCGTGCGCGCTCGTCTCCTGCCGGTGAAATCGAGTGTGTTTTGCTGGGCTGGGACTAGCGGCTTTGCTGTAATTCGTCGTGGGTTTAGGATTTTTTTTCTGCCTTGTGGGCGTTATTGTACTGGCTCAGACCCGCTGTCCCCTCACCAGCGCTGACCCAGATACACCATGCCACAGAGGGAAGGTCAAAAAAAAGAAAAAAACCTCCAAAGAGGACAATTGTGGATTAATCTTATTTCTTCTCAGCTCCCTTTGATCGCTTCGTCTTCTGCAGAGCAGGAACCGTCAATATCCCCGCTTTTCTCATTAATCCATCCTGTCCCATAGCGAGTTTGCCGCTGCGGTTACCTGTCCCACGGGTGCGATGCCTCGGGGTGACGAGAGCGCTGGGACGGGTGTTGGGGTGGCCGCACCACGGTCACCGCAGCCAGCGTCCCATCTGCCGGCCCGGGAATCGGGAAGATTCGCCAACCGTGCGGCCAGGTGTTTGGTCCCACAAAAAAGCAGCAGGCGAGTGGCCTCGGCGAGTGGCTCCCGAGCCTGTGGCCTGGCCGGCGCAGTCCCGGGCTCCTGGGAGAGGAGGCAGCTACAGGCTGAGGTTTAGGGCCAGGACTGCTGTCCCGACGGATGGGATCCGTGCCCGCAGCTCGCCAAACGCGTGCGGTGAGCTGCGGGGCGGCTGAGCTCTTTCCCAAAGAAGGAGAGGGGAAGAAACGCAGGTTTGGCGTGATGGCGACCACGGGAGCTGTCGGGAGGAGAGCTGGGGTGAGCCCGGCAGCCGGAGCGACTCCAGACTAATTGCCCTTCGCAAGGCAGTTTCAAGTTGAAGGTGTCTGCAGAGGAGAGGAGGAAACCTCCCGCTTAACTGCTGCTGGGGTGGCGAAACCAAAGCGCTTGGCTGTTTGTTTCTGTTTGCGTTTCCTTCTCTTTGGTAATCGAGGGCCTTGGGAAAGTTGGCGTTTGGGTTCTGGTTCTGCCTCGGGCTTCGCGCGTCTGCCGAGGCTCCGCGGTGCCGCTCATCCGGCTCTTCCGCAGCCGGTCCTCGCCCGAGCTGAGCAGGATCGGGTCTGGTCTGCGGCGAAAGCGCGACTAGGTGTCTCCCTCGCATCTGTTTGCAGCGTGCCGGACGGAGGAGGCTGGGACAGGGCTGCGCTGGAAAATTCATCTCAAAGCCAATTCTGACTTGGAGTTGGTATTTGATTTCCGTGCCCACCCAGGCGGGAACGCGCTGTCGGGAGGGGCCTTTTTGTGGTACTTACCTGAACTTCAGTGGCACAAATCCCCGGCATCCGCATGGGTTAAGTCAATGTTTGAGTAAGTCTCAGACTGATTAACCGTGGAGCTTTGTAGGCACCAAAAGCTTGTTTTTCCTGTTCACCTGAAATTATTGTAATGATCCTGGAGCGCTGCGGAAGGTGTGATGTGCTGCTCGTTTGTGCCAAGGGTGGGCAGGGGTATTCGGGGACGCGTGTGCCTCGTCGCTTCTGCCCCGGTACGGCAGAGCCACGGCACAATTGGCCAGCCGGGGCACAAGCAGCTCCTCATCTCCTGCTGGGAGATCTTTCCTGCTCCGAACACTCACGGTGGGGCTGTTCCTTGAGGAAAATCACAGGATTTTAGGGGTTTTTTTAATGTATGTGCACAGCAAAGCGCTCCAGCCTTCCGATCCTGTGGGTTTAAGGCGGGAGGAGAGCCAAAGGCGAGGGGAAGTGGGGATCTCTTCCAAGTAGCGGCCGCTGGAATCCCCTGCTTGACAATAAATTTAACAGCTTTCTGTGGTTTTGGGTGGTGCAGCTGTAAGGAGCTGCCCCCCGGGACTCAGTACTTCCCCCCACATAAAGTCTCTTTCTGCGGAATCTCCTCTTGTTGTGTTTAGGCAGCACAATGTCAAATTACTTTTTTTTTTTGCCTCCCTGGAAGAAAAAATGCAATGTAATTCCAGGGCGGTTGGTACTAAATAATCAAAAGATAGCGTCTGCCTAATTTCTGCCTTGGGTTTGTGCAATTTGGCGCTCGGCAAACCCGACTGCAGAAAAATGAGCTGTTTTAAATGAAATGCTATAGGAGAGGGTCCCAGAGAGCTGCGCCCGGCGCTTGCCGTTGCCGCGGTTCGGGTGGTTCCTCCCGGTTTCGCGGGGCCGGTGGAAAGGGCGCTGCGCTGGGGACAGAGGGCGGGTTTCTGGGGCTGCCTGGGGAAGATGTTGTGGTGTAAACCCACTTATCAGCTAATTGCCTGGGCGTGTGGTTTATGTTCAGTTTTTCATCTCGGAGCTGCTTACAGGACACTGAGAAGAAAGCAGAGACCTCGCCTCGCGCCTCCCGTGCTTGTTTCTTTTGTATTTTGCTTTGTGTGGGAATATTTGGAGCTCCCACTGCAAAACCCGGGACCGGAGCATGTGTGCGACGCCCGCAAAGCCCAGCGGCAGGGTGGGAGCGGAGCGGGGCTGGCTGCCACTCGAGCCACCGGGCCGTCACGCGAGCGGCGCGTGGGTTCGTTTACTGGCCGACACCGGTGCCACAGCACCAAAACCGGTCTGGATGCAGCCAAGGAGCGCCGGGGACTTTACCGTCAGCTTGAAATGTGGCTTTTGGCAAACACTCTGGTTGCTCTCGGTGTTTTTTCTGCTCATGACCGTGACGATCAAGACTAAGGATTGTTTGTCTCCTTTTTTTTTTTTTTTTTTTCCACACTTCTATTCTGTGTTCACGCAATTACCATGTGCTGCCCGTTGATATTCTGTAGTGATGCAGCCGGAGCTCCTGGTAAAGGCCTCTCCAAAACGGCCCTTCACAGGGTTCACAAGATGGGAGAAATCCGTTCCCTCTCCCAGGATGCAGCCCAGCGCTCCCACTTCCCTGTGGAGCTGATGTGGCTCGGCCCCTGGGGCAGGGGGAGCTGCTGGAGAAGAGCTGGGGTGCTTTATCCTGGTTTTTCTCCCCTCTCTCCTGCATGGAGATGGCTACGGGCTGTTTGCACCAAGAAATATCTTCAATAGAAGCTGCATTTATACGACTTTTCCACTTGGGGGGAACCTATACAGTATATAGTGCCATCTCCTCCCCAGCCAGAGCTGTCAGACCAATTTCAGAGCAGCAGTCACTCAACACATTTTTAATTTAAGCTATTTGCATTTTACAATAGGAATTTAAAACCCTGCTGGTGCCCTGCTAGATGGGTGGCCGCCGGAGTGGAGACGGGCCCTGTCGAGGGCTCCCCGTTCCTCTGCCTGCCCGGGGCCAGAGCGTGAGTCAGAGGCTGTGCCGGGAACGGACGGGAGATTCCTCCCGGTGTCCCATGTTTACGCCACCGTCTCACTGTTTTGGGAACCGTAACCAAGCAGAGCCGCTCCGTGGTGACGCCGGCTGGGCTGGGGTGAGCTCCCTGAGGGGAGAGGGAGCCGCGGCCCGGTGCTGCAATCCGACTGCAATCTCGGCTCTTGCGTGGCCGCTGGTCCGGTGTCCCGTGGGGAGGAGGGCTCCTGACGTGGTTAAACTAACGAGGGCCATCGCTTAGGGTATATCCAGCAGCGCATGACTCCCCTGTACGGCATGCGTGCCAGCGCACCGAGGGCGTGCGTGATGCAGGTGCCCTTTTGCCACCGGGGCTACCACCAGCCCCGAGCCCGAGCCGCTGCAGGCGCTTCAACGCACTTTGGGGGTCCGAAGCCCCCTCCCAGTAGCTCTGGGGGTAAGCCGTGCAGCATGGTTCGCTCCTCACCCGATCGCCGCGTGCCCCGAGTGACTGGCGTTGCCGAATGGCTCATCACCGGCTCCTGGCGTGAATCATGGCTGACTTCGTGCAGTGGCACGGTGCCGTCCCCGTTGTGGGACGCCTTAATGTCACCCGCTTGGCTGTGACAGTGCTCGATCCTTGAAGGAGGCCAGACAAGGGCCGCAATTCCTGCGGGTCTCTCCTCTTTTCAGCTGGGTGCGTGACTCCCTGCAGCTCTCGGTGAAGAAATGAAGCTGCCGGTGCCGCTGAAAGAGCCGGGTGACGGCAGGGTGATGGGGAGCTTCCCCGGGGGGGCTGTAACCGGGCGAGAAACCTGCTGAGATGAGGAGGGTGAGCCCCGAGTCGGCCGCTGAAGCCAATCCGACGAGGCTCGCTCTCCTCCGACTTTGAAGCTGAACAGGTCGGGGCCTGCCGAGCGGCTGATTTGCTTCTCCCTTGATGTTTCGGCACAATACCGGTGGCTGCACCGAATGGCTTTGTGCGGTTAGCGCCCGCTGGTGCGGCGGCAGGGGGTTTAGCTGGGGCTGTCGAGCCGCCTGCTCGGCTTTGCCAGGGGACGCGGGGCCTCGTTTTGCTGGGGTAGAGGACACCGGTCCTCGCCTGGGCTGTGGTCTGGAGCCCTGCCACTGAGTGCCGTAGCTCGTGGGCGTTTCTGCCAGACGGTGTTTGGGTTCATAAGTTAACGTGGCAGAGACCTGTCGGTGCTGGCAGAGCCCGGTGCCGTTGGTCTGGTACCCAACCCTCGATTTTTGTTGTAAGATGCTCCAGCAGAGGAAAGAACAAGTCGCTGCTGAGCATGGAGATGTGGTGGAGGGATGTAGAGTGGGGTTTTTCCTCAAGTATCGACAGGGAAGGGATTAAAGCCTGTTGGCCCTCTTTGTCTTCTAGGGTTGCGGCGCTAAGAGGAGCTCCCGGCTCGGCGCGTGCCGGCAGCGGTGCAAGATGGCCACCTTCAAACGGAGCCGAGCGCAAGCCTGGCCGGAGGAACGGGGCGACCGGGAGCACGGGCTCTACAGCTTGCACCGCATGTTTGACATCGTGGGCACCCACCTGACCCACCGGGACGTGCGGGTGCTCTCGTTCCTCTTCGTGGACGTGATCGACGATTACGAGAGGGGGATGATCCGCAGCGGCCGGGACTTCTTGCTGGCGCTGGAGCGGCAGGGCCGCTGCGACGAGACCAACTTCCGACAGGTGTTGCAGTTGCTGCGGATCATCACTCGCCACGACCTGCTGCCCTACGTCACCCTCAAGAGGCGACGGGCCGGTAAGTGACGCCGCTGGCAGCCTGGCCTGCTCCCTAACGAAGCTCGCGTCCTTATTCAGCCCTCTCCTGTTTCTCCTCGCTGACGCCCTGCAGGCGTGGTGGTTAGAGGACCCCGGGGACAAACGGCTGCCAGGACAGCGGGGAAATGCAGGCAGAGGAGGCAAAAGGATATTTTATAGGGTTTTAGCAAGCGCCCACGCACCATCTTGGAGGGGTTAAAGCCTCGTTTTGTTTCTGGCAAGCGCCGAGGTCTCCGTCTTTCTTCGGCAGCAGAGAACTGGGATT